TTTCGCGGTGGTAACGGCGGTGGGGAGATATCATCTCTCGGAGGAAGCATTGGTGCGTTTGGCGCTTGCCTTGCCTACAATTATTTATAGTGAATTCCTTACGAGTTTCTCTAGAGAAGATCGTACAATAAATGTATTCTATTTTTAAGGAATCTCTACAGAGACGTTCCTTGTCACTGAATATATAACTTAATTTTTTTGGAACCACATTTCCATTAAAGAAATAAAATAAAAATATATCTCCAAATTTCGGATTATTAAAGATATCTCAACATTTTTCGGAACAATAGTACATTTCAAAAATTCCAAGTGAAATGAGACAAAGTTGAGTTTGAGTTAGAACTTTAGAATCTTACTTGTTGCGGTGATTCGCTAATTGAGTTCTCTTTTCTTCGAGTGGGCAAAATCTTTCTAGGCGGCAGAGGTGGAGGAGATTTCGGAGGTATGTTAATGGAACACGGCAGTGTTGGTATCGCACTGGGGCTCCCACATGACGACAACGATAGACCCGTTAAAGCACTCATCATGCCTATGGTGCCGGAATGAAAGCCAAAATGATTGGTTTGTTGATAATGCGAAGCAGGATTATGTCCAGGCGATCCCAATTGAGGGCTGCTGTTCGACGAAGCGATCGACATGCTAGGCGGACTAGGTGATCCTGGAGGTGGCACGGCTCCTAAATAAAAGAGAGATAACGGGAGTTAGACTCGTAATTGTTGTTAATTCATTATTTAAACGTAGATGCGTACCTAAAAAGATGGGTGCACAAACACTGTGATCCCCTATATGCGAAATTGTGCTCTGTGATACATGCGGCGGTGTTTCCGGCAATTCGGGAGGGGGCGGCGCTTCCGCTGGAGGATCGTGCAATCTCACGCTAGACGTTACCGCGTGTAACGGAGCTGGCAATCTTCCGCTCAGACTTCGAGCTTTGATCCCCGGCGATTTCAAGTTCAAGTCTGGCCATTTACGCGGCTATTGCACGAATTTAAGAAACCATGTAGGAAAATGTCTAAAAAATAGTTGCTTATATTGCATCGAGTTGAATGACTTACGAATCGTGGAGGTTGCTTGCATCCTCTCGGTTCTATTTCTAAACTTTTCGCAAACAAATAATTGCTTATGTCGTTCTCCGGCATATTAGGGTCGAAAGGACATAGATTTTCAATAAATTGTCTTATTCTAGGCTCCACTGAAAGACAATAGGGTTGGTTTTGGTACTGCTGTATTTCGCCAGTTATTTCCGCGACTCTTCGGCGTTTACTAAAATTAATAAGCTCAGGATTGCCTGGCAAATAGTCTGGATTTCCCTCTTCAATGTGCAGAATGTGGGTCAAGTACATACCTGAGAATAAAAAGGGGCATAAGTTTCCAATTAAGAATCCTTTTTGTATTTTGCAATACTCACCAAAAAATGGTACGCAAGGTGGATTGATAGATCTCAGTTTTTCTTGATATATTCGGAAATGATTGCTATTAAGTTCTTTCCCTTGTTCCAACGCCTTTTCAAATCGTGCCGGAATTTGCTGCAAAAATAAATGTATGTATGTAGAAAGGAAGGGGTACACACAAGATACAAAGATTTTGCAAGGTGTGCGTTGAGAACTAAACGTACTGCGAATGTAAGTTTTAACCTATCGACCGCAGCCGAATGCAAAGCACTGCTGACCGCCAGAACGCCGTTAAAATTGTTGAGATCCTGCAACACCATCATTATTTCGATTGCACGTAATACGACAGCTAGTCTTTCCTCGAAATTTTCAGTGTCCACTATTGTCTTTTGTAGCCATCTCGTGAACTGTCAAAGCGCAATAAACAAGTCAGTAAAACGTTGTATGTTCCGTGATGTACGTTTGCGATGCCTCGATACTTACATTTGTTGTATGCTTGATCATTTTCAGCAAGTTTGGTGACGTTTTTTCCTTGTCCTTCTTCGTCCATACAGATCCGACTAACTCGGAGGACTTTACCATTCTGTACAGGTCGAACTCCAATAGTGTTAATTGCCTTGCTAATTCGATAGGATGTAACTGTAATTGATAAATTGTCTCAGTATGTGACTCCCTAATTATTGTTCCCTTAATTAAATCGTGATTGAAAAAAAAATTATTGTCGTACCGTAAGTATTCCATATTCTTCCTCAGGAACTTTAAGATGCCACTCAATCGGTGGTGGAGATCGCTCAAAACTAAATGTAATAGGTCGTTGTTCTGACGGTTCGCATTTTCTTTGTACAATTTTTAGCACTGAATCAACCCATTTTCGCATGGATTTGCCACTAATTGTATCTAAAAACGATTGCAATCTTTCCAAAAGATTTCTGTCACGCTCGAAATCGTAAAAATGATGATCCACCTAATAAAGAATAAAATTTAGAAAAACAAGTGTTTTGCGAATGTTAAATATCTTAAGGGAAAATAGAGCATATTACTAACCCAATGCCTCAATACATTCAACACTCTAAATTGTACCGGTTGACAGAATTCCTTCTTATATCTTTTCCAATCTTCTCTCGCTGTTTTACACACAGAGGGCTTTTCTTCTTCACCGTAGACTAATGAAGGATCCGGTATGTCAAATCTGTCTATTAGCAACGTCAATAGTTCTTGAGGTGAGCAAAAACTCCTACGAAATAAATGGTCAATAAATAATTCATCGCGCAATAAGAGAATCGTTAAATTATAATTACGGTTACTTACCTGTAAGTAGTAAGGAATGTTCTTACGAAAGCTGGATCAGCGTATATATGATAAGTTAATCTCTCTACTAGTTTTATCAAAGTTGCACCTTTAATCAACGGAACACCACCATTCTCTCTAGCCTCCAGAACAATATTTTCCGAACTGTCTTGTTCGGCAAATTTATACAAGTGAGATGGAGGTAGCTTCAATGGGTGCTTTTTCTCTTCATCCAGAAGGATACTGTCCAAAGTCCTTTCTAACATACTTTTTGTATTCAACATCACTAAATCCGCCATCCAATTATTCTTGTCCTCGACAGATTTGGCAACAAGAATAACATTGGGATGGTCCCTTGGTGCGATTTCGAAGGCATTTTTTAATTCTGCAAATCAATATTTTGATTGTGCAGATCAGAAATTTAACGTATAAAATCGCAATAAAATTAATTATGTAAGTGCTTACCTTCGGTGTCCTCTCTATCAATAATATCGACCTTTCTAATAAAAAATCTTTCTTTCAATCGGAGTTCACCTTGGTGGACCGGATGTGCACCCACTCCGACTGCAACGATATTCGCTGCAACAGTAACGCTAACTCGTTTACTACCACTCGGTTTGCACAGTACCAGCAAACCGTCGAATAACAAGGCTTTCCTCTCCGTTAATCTTCGTCCATTGCTAGCCACTTTTCCTAACATGTCCTCTGCGCAAAAATCATCGATGCATTCGCGATTGCAAGAAGGTATATCGAAAGATGCGATAAAAAAATGCTTTTCTGTTACCTCTAATGAACTCATTGCAACACTGCCCGATATCTCTTTGATCCCAGCCTTCCACAGTCTTTTGTAATTCACAAATCTTCACTAACGCCGCCTGTTTCCTGGCTCTGCTCTGCATTGGCAAACACGTATCCTTTTTTGGAAAACTCGACACAATACCCTCCAATTCCACTTTCACCGGACTTAACATGACTTCTACTTGCTCCAAGGATTCGCCATCCTCTACGTTAGGTGTGCGCTCGTGTAAGACCTGTGTGAAAGATAAAGAGTATAATTTCCTACGAAATTGGGTAATTTTACAAATAAATGCACAAGTGAGAAAAAAAGAAAGCTGTACCTTTATGTAATCAAAATACAGGAAACAATGCCATATGGGTTGCATTAAGAGTTTTGGCAAATAATATTTAACGGCTTCTTTAAAACCATGACCCGCTGCTCTCAAGGCAGCATTAATTTCCGGTTCCGACAATATACTCATTAAAATTTCCCGATTAGTCGGATTAATAATAACTGAGATATCTCTCGCGTATCTAGAAATAATATATATATCTCGTAAGAATTCTATATATTTAAAATGTTGCGTGTGCACACAATATAACACATACTTTCTATAAACATCGAACTCTGCTGCCTCCGCTAATTCTTCGAAGCATGAACCAATCGTAGGTGTCTGCTTCTCCTCAGTAATCTCCATTATGTCTTCTAGACTGCTGAGTAATGTCGCAGTAAGTTCATAAATCTCTATAATATTACTAAAAATCGTGTCTAATTCGCTCTTGTCTTGAGTTAACTTCGCAATTTCTTCGCGAAATACCTAATGAATAAAGATCAAGTTTTTAAATCTTTTGCTAAATTAGATTTCTACGATGTTTTAGCAATGTGCATTATCTATTACCTTGATAATCATATGTAGGTCACGAATATAATGCCGCTCATCGTGAATGAGATCTCGAACAGACTCCTCGTAGGTCTGCGAAATAATTGCACCCAAGCTACTTTGTGGACCTTCCTTGCTCGCAATTGCTTGTGTGCAATTATCTTGATAAAACATATCCATCAGTGCCTGTTGATTAATTGCATGTTATATTACAAATATATATTTGTATAATGGGTAAATATACAACCAGATATAACTTTTTCAGAAAGAATACAAAGATGTAAAAAAAATACTATGACGTCTTAAATCTTCTTTGTGCAATTGTTTCGCACATGTTGAACATTTCGTATCTTTGAACATTTATATTAAAAAAGGAAAGAGAAATAATGATAAATAAATAATAAAGGAAACATAGAATGGTTGATAAATTACAACTCGCCATTGCAATCTCTTATCAATGGCAAAAATAGCTGTGACATAACAGCATGCGGTACAAAAATAATTAGAGAGATTAAAAAATAAGATTAAGAGGAACGATTACTAAAATGTCTATAACAATTTTTTGCATGTGCTATTAAGATGTCAGTATGTTTGTGATTCATATATTATACATTATTAAATTCATGCTATAGTATAATTAATCTAACATAGCATTAACATTAATGATATAATTTATACTATACTAACTGTATTTAAAAAGAAGAAAAACATATAGTTTGCATATATAGGATGAATCATGCAATCTGAACTAGCTATATTCATAGGGTGTCTATTCAAATCTTGAAAAAAAATTTTTTCAAGAAAATTCAAGGTTTTCCAGGTAGCAGAGACCCCGCACATTCAATTTATGGTTGACAATAGAAAAAAATAGCGAAGGAAAAAGTTGAAAAGCTTAATAATCCTTAACTTTCTGCATTATTTTGGCGTTGAGATTAATGCAAATACTGTGCAATAGAAATATGCTAATAGCAATACTTTAAACAAGCAGTGAGTTTTTTTTATTATCTTCTTTTCCATCAAAAACGATACAAAGATATCAAAAGATATTCTGACATCTTAAATCATTTCTGTGCGATCACAAGTACGTACCACCTAGAACAGCATGAGCGAAGAATGAACATGGTTGAAGTTCTTATATATTAGTGGAAAGCATGTAACCAAGCATAGAATATATGCAACCATAATTAGCTCAATGTAGCCAATTCTAAAAATCATTATTGTACCTGCCGCTAATAGCAGATGGTTAAAATAACGGATTATGAAAACATTTGTGATTTCTATTTCTTGCTACGTTAATACAAAGTAGAAAAATGGAAAATAATGTATTCTTTTAAATGGAGAGTATAAGTAACATAATGAAAGACACAAGTTGGATTTATAAGCAATAAAATAAGCAATAATGAACAAACTTATTACTAGCGAGGTAGCATATTTCTCTACTGCATTTACTCTTTAATTGCCTATGTAATACCACTCATATTATAATCATTTTCTATACAAGCTTCGTAAACTATGGCATTGTATTTAAAAATATTTTATAAGACTGATTCGATATATGAGGTCTAGTAAGTTTACATATATATTACGATTGCAGTGTAACTATATGTATTAACATTTAGGAGTAGGAGGATAGTTCTCAAATACATGAGACACTCGAATCAGTCTTAAAGGGTAAGTGGTAAAACACGATACAGTGTTTTTTATGCTAGTTAAGGTGCAGTACAGAGATACAACCACAAATTATATATTTTCACAATATCTTACCACATCCGCGTACATCGAAACTCTCACGTCTTCGCACGTAATCTCTATATGGCAAATATTCTTCACATACTTTCCAGCTAGCTAGAAAAGAAAGTAATCTTAAATATTTTAGACAGTTCTAAGGGATAAAAATAACAAGTATGGATACTAAAAGTAGTTTGATATTTTGTTATCAGACCAACCTTAAAGATATCAGCAGCGATATATTCCAAAACTGCAACTACAAACAGGCTGAAATGCCAGTCAATTTTGTGCTGCAATACCTCCTGTTGAGGAATACAGTATTAAAATTAGCACAACACTGTATAAGGGCTAAATTAGCATAACTCTTACAAGACCTATAGCGACTTGCACATACAAATTAATCGTTATGTATAGGTGTACCTTTTGCAATAACTGATGAATCTTGTCGACAGGTAGCACTAATGGCGATTTTTTTTTCCCTTTTTCTACTGCATCTCTCGCATCGCGTAGAGCCCACTTGTCAATTGGTGTAGGAAACATCCGCCTTACTCTTTCCTCTATATCTTGAAGAGTCTGAGGAGGTGGATGTCCACAAAGCAAGCCTAGTATTCTTAAGATTAAACTCTCCACGTACTCTAAGGCATCTTGTCGAGCTTCGAGACTAGGATGTACTTGCTCCAATACCTACGAGATTAACAATTTTGTGGTAAATATCCATCCTACGATTACCAGAGATACACTATTGAATGTAGTACATAAGGCTCACAAGAGTTATAAGACGTAGTTTTTTTTTGGAGATACGAAAGATGCGATATTTTATTCAAATCCAGATAAATAGTTTGAGTATATCTGAATTCGAACAAACTTCACATCACATTGTATTGTCACGATGATATTGTGAGGTTTCATAAAATGTTTAACATGCCATCGTGTTTAATGTCTCGTCTTATTTGCAAAGGTTTTTTGGTGACATTGTATTGTCTAGATCTATTAATTTAAAATGATCAAAAATAGCCAAGTGCACGTAAAACTTCTAAAGCACAGTGATTTGTGAGATGTGAAAAATTGAGTTTATTGAAATTCTGATAATCATAATTAGTATAATTATTTTCTCGTTTCTTTTATATATGATTATACTGTAAAATGCGAGATATATTGTTGACAGCCGGTTAAGTTCAGCAATGTGAGATGCGATTAAAAAAAATCCACAATCGCGTTCGCTGCTGTTGACAGAACGATGTTTGAAAAATCATATGGTGGTCGCGCACGCAACGATGACATCGGTCGGGGTGTCGCTGATCGATTCGAAGCCTCGACGCAAAATCATTGGGACGAAAAATGATCGAGCGTTCGAGCGAACAAAAAGTGTGAAGAAGAGAGGCGGGAGTGAAGCGGGGAGGAAGAGGATAGGGAAACGGTATAGTAAAGGACGAGAAAGCGAAATGCGAGAGGTGGAGTGAGACGGAGCGAGAGAGAGGGAACGAGTGCGACGAAGAGCGACGAGGAGATAAAGCGACCGAGAAGAATCGCGCGACGGAGATGTGTACCTTAGGCAGGGAGTTGACAAACACTCCCTTCCACTTGGCGGCGTTCTCCTCTTTCTGAAAGTCGTAGCCCGACGGCTCGCCCGCTGACGCCGGCGATGAAAACATTTCACCGTGCTCACAGAATCACAGGCACTTTTTTTTCTCTATTTATCCAAGAAGAAGACCACGCGCTACGGAGAGTCCGTGAAATTTTCAAGAGGCATCGTCGTCAGGAGCGACGGGGGGGCTGACAGAGTCGTCCGTCTGTCGGTCGGTCCGCTGCTCAGGGCGCAGATATCTCCGTCTCGCATTGGGAGCTCGATGCCGCGCACGACAGCTAAGCTACTCGGTTGTATCCTCGCGCTACTCTCACGCTCCAAGCGCCGCTCGTCACTCCTGGCAGCGTCACCGTGGCCGAGGACGAGCTGTGCGTGCTGATTGTGCGCGAGCTCCGCCACTGATGCATCTTACACACCCTTTATTCGTAATTTTTGCGCTAGAACCCAGCAACGAACACCAGCAATAACACCACCAACAGTTACCATTGCGCCACTCTCGTCTTGCACGAGCACTCGCCTCGTCTCGTCTTGCCTCGCCTTGCCCCACGCTTCGTCTGGCTTCGTCCCGCCTCGCCTAGTCTTGTTGCACCTCGTCTCTTCACGTCTCGTCACGCGCTCGAGCTAGATCGATAACGTGACGCTATCGCGATTAGGTCGAAGTGCGAGAATCAATTGGCGAGGAATCGATCGCTCGAACCAAAGTCATATCTCGCGATTCGAATTTCTCAAGTTTCACGCTGCAGCAAGTTGTGTTGGATCCACAGCTGTGTTGTAGTTTGCAAAATCTGTTTCGTAAACATTATCGGTAAGATTTTTGCCTTGACGAAGACTCTTATGCGTATTCTGTCATTTTTAACCACAATTCCACTATTGCATGTGTCATTGCGCAACTATTGCGTGATATCTGCGTATGTATATGATATTGTGGTTAGGAAATTGCAGAGTAGGCATACCGATTTAATATCTTACACCTAGCTCGTATTTGTATTAAAAAACATATGAAAAAAGAGTGCGTAAAACATATGAAAAAAGAGCGCATAAAACATATGAAAAACACCAAGTTTCTTCCAATAGGTCGCACACAGATATACTGCGAATACGTTGGATTGCTACGCTTTTATGATGGTATAAGCAGAATATGATGTATTATCAGATTCAACTCGTGTATCCATGTAAATTCTGACAACTTAAGCATGCTCTTCCGCGAACATTTTACATTCATTTTTACAAAAACATGCATGATTAATTAATATTTTTAGATTAGTATTTTTGTATAAATTTCAGCAATATATTGATGGAAATAATTTGTATAGACATCATTAATTAATACACAGTGAAATAAAAGCATAAATATTATTTAATTTATTTAGTAAAGATGTAAAGTGTGTGTGTAACTCGTCAACATTTAACTAATTTTTTTCTAATTTCAGTGAGATTTTTGATGGAAACATTCCTTTGTTGAAGACGTCACTGATCGGCATAATTAACGCATTGATGAGTAAAAAAATATATACATATATACATATTTATCTTATTTAGTAAGAAGGAACACAAAGTAACTCTTTTTTTTCAAAAAACAATCTATAAATAGATTGTAAATCCGTCGAGAAACAATCCACCCACTCGTTTCTCTAGTTTTCAAAGATACGAATAAATTGAAAGCTATTTTATTCGTTGATGTTGATGGATTTTTCTGAATCCAATAAATCTGCAAAATTCTACAAATATTCTTCATGCGGCTACCATGTCTCGTTGCGTGACATAATTTTCTCGTTTTTCGTCATTCCGCAATTAATTTTTAAACGGTCATTCCGAAACAATGCAATGTTTCAAAGATTTCTTTTACGTGGTAGGCTCATCCTCCGTGATATAAAACGCTTGCGTCTCTCGAACATCCCATCTACGGTTTTATCAACTGAAACAAAAATATAGAAAATTAAATTAGACAGAAATATAAATTATCGTAATTATTCGTTTGTTAATAAAAACATTACTCTTTTACTATTTGATCCAATCTGATAGTTTATTAAATTTTCTGAATTAATAAATTCAAATATCAAGCTACAAAACTATAAAATACGTAGTAAATTAAAATATATATTTTAATCAAATACATATCAGACGGAAATCGCTTAGCATGATTTTTCGCTCCAAAGTACGTTTGGAAATCATATTCGAGTTAATTAATCATATGTGAGTAAAAATCGTTGGAAATGAGTGGCATAATTAATCGTTACGGAACATGCGGAATCGTTATGATGCGAAATGCTTGTATATAAGTGTGTAAATATTATAAATTCTTTGCTTGATTATGCATCTTAGGATGTAATCGTTGAGACTGGCTTTTTTTAAATTTTTTTTTCTTTTGATGTAAATCGAAAAATTGCGAAATATGTCGCGCGCGGCGATAAGAGATGGCACGGGCGCCGTCGTTGAGAATCGGTCGTTCCAACGGCCGCTGGAGACTTATCAGCCCGCTGATACAGCGATAGCCTTGCGTCACTCCCAGAGCGTAGATTTGTGCTTTTAACATTAACGAATTTATGACCTACGCAATTACGCACTTATCGTAAGCGTGACTTACGCACGCGAAGAGCGCAGTGTTACCGCAGAAAGATATAATCTTCACCGCGTGTGTCCTTGAATGTTCTTCCGTCGATTTTTATCGATACATCGATTATACAACTGAAGATACGCGGTCGTGAGGTTTTGCGCGTAATTTGCAATAGCTGAGGGAAGCACTTACCTAATCAGAGGATACGCAGGATCTCCGTCAAGTTTTTGTTTGTCAATATGATGAATGGGCAGTAGTTTGATGGGTATTTGGTCCAGCGTGAAACGCCTTCTTCGGCCTCTGTAAGATCGCCGATCAACAAATTTTACAAAATTGTTACAAAATAATTATATATTGCAAAATATAAATTATTAAATTAAAATATGAAATATATAAATTTAAATTACTGTATCAAATATTATTGCTAAATATTTTGTTGATTCTCATCGAAAATATTTCCAGTAGATTTGGTATTTTTAATACATTATTATTAAAAAATTAAGTAAAAGTAATATTTTTAATGAACGATTAATTTATGAAATGCAAATTATCTTATCGTAAATAGATTTTTAAATTTTCTTACATTTTTATTGGATCTAGTGTCCCGTTTCCTTCTGCCATTATCATTAGCGATCGCTTGCCGGTAATTCGCGACAAAGTCATTAATGTTTCCAGCTCGGCTCTTCTCTGGTCGGATAGTCGTTTTTGTCGTCTGTGAAAACGTGGCGAATTCAACGTGGCGAGTTCAAGCGCAATGGCTAATACAACACGAAATGAAACGCAAGGAATTGCGTTTCTTAGAAAGGACTCAAAAATTGTAATTTAACTTACGATTTAATCGGAAACGACGCGTTTTCTTCCACGAGTGTAGAATCCGAGTGTAGAATCGCCTTTCGCTCGTAATCCAAGAGATCTTCCGGCTTTGAAGCACGTGTCACTGACATGCTTAACATCGACCTATTGGAAAATAAAAATCACAAAAATGAAATATCAAGTGAGATAGATAGTGTATTAAATAAATAGGAAAATGTCGGTTTTTGCTTTTCATTCAAAATGTAAGTTAAGAGAAGATACTCGATTTTTTATTTTACTTTGATATATTTATATCTCGACAAGGGCCAATGTTATCGTTTATAATGATGTAATAATGTTGAATGTGATCAATCATATTTCTGACGTAACATGAACACGATGGACGTAAGAAATTTTACATAAGAAAACTAAACAGAAGGTTTCGTCGCGTCGAGCGAAAATTTGAGTCTTTCAAAGCATCGTTTTCCGACTTTCCACTTAATCGCTGGACATCGTTGCAACTGTTAAAAAAAAAAAGAAAAGAAAATATGAAATAAATTGATAATTACCCATTGTTATCGATCGCTGGACGTCCGTAAATAAATCCCGGCAGCGTGAGTGCCACGAGGATGCAAATAGCCATTAATGCGCGTTTCATCTTGAGCGAGATAGATTTTACCTGCAGCAAATTTACATAAAGAAAAAATAAAAGTGTTCTTTTCGAAGCAAGATGCACGATCAATGCGAAAACTTTCTCAGCTTCGGTCGTTGTATGTAAACTATTAAGTCGTCGTAGCAATCTGCGCTGCATATATACGTATGTGGATATTCTTATCCCCCTCTCCACGCTACAGACGTAAACGCACCCCTCTTTCGACGCTTCCGTCTGTCAATGTCCGTCAATGCCTCGCACCACTCGTGATAACGTATATTTACACAATACAGTTACAATTTCCGCCTTTTTCTTTTTAATTTTCCTTATTTTTTCTTTTTATTTCTAGTTTTTTAATATATGGACTTGTGAAGAGATAAATGTGTGATAGAGTTGAAAAACAGCGCAAGAGAGAAAACAGAAAAAATACCCGTGCAGAAAATTAAGAAAAAAAATAGTTTGACGATCGATTTTCAATAGCTTCTTTCGTCATTGTCGTATCAATCTGCTAGTGATTGGTTTACAATTAATTTAACAAAGCGGACGATTATTTTAGTGAGAAATGTAATAAATAATTTTTCATCTGTTACTCACAGAGAAAACTGCATTGAACCGAATTATTCTGGATACGAAACGATGATTCTTATGAATAATTCGGCGATAAACGTTAAAAATTTATAACAGCAGAATTCGCTACTATAATCCATATCTTTATGCTCTTTAAATTAACTCATCACTAATTGAGAAATGCCGCGCAATTGCGTTCGACATAATTAAATACGAATGAATCAAACGTGACCGTGAATGTACATAATAAATATGAATTGAATATGAATACTATTATTATTTGAATATAAATTGAATATTAATCACTTTCTCTCTCTTTAATTTCACTATTTTTTATTATAAAATGTATCTTTGCAATGCATTTCTGATTAATACGTTGCATCATAGAATATAAAATACCCTGTGCTTTACAAATGATACGCTTTTCCTGGGAAATTTGCGTAGCAAATGCGGATTTTCCAGATTAGTTCGGTACATTTTCTGCATCATTCATATATTTCTTTTTTTTTGTGGAATGAAAAAGCAAAGTGCACACATGAAGTAATCGTATTTCATAGTTCGATGCGTAGTTTGACCGTGTATACAAATCCACAACAGTTTATAAAAGTTTTGTTGAGAAATAATCCGAATGTAAATTCGGCGGTTTTGCAGAGACAGAAAATTGAACTTTTAACCTCATTTTGATATAAAACTTTGATTGGCTAGAGATAATGTATATAATTTATGTGCTATATCCGGTAATTAAACCGATTTATTTATGGTCACTCGTTTAAATTACATTATCAGAAAATTGTAACAGATTTCAGCCGAGGTAATTGTAACATGTGGAGTTTTAATTCCAATACTATTCCGACATTTATACGCTGTCTCTTTCTCGAAATCGTGATATTATGAAATTCTGCTGATGTGATCGCCACTTTTGAATTTTTGCTCTCATCATGGACTTTCGTTACGTACAAACGCCATTAGACGAATCACGCAACGTGCCTGCCATCATTACGAAATCATTCCACTACTGCCGATCGCTTACGACTGCGTCATTTTTACTTCCGGCATTGATCTTATTATATTTCGATCATTAAATTTTATCGCGCGTGACATGTACGGAAGCAAGACCGACATGCGCGATGAAGTTCACGCGTTTATAATGATGAGATATATATTTATTACCATATACTTATATTACTATAACTTTTTGGAATTATCGATACTTTATAATATTTCTTTTGTCCTTTTCTTTTTTTCAAATAAATTTACGAAGAATCAGCATATACGCGCGTGCACGTATTTTGTATATCCTCAAATTTAATCAAATTTTTGATTAGCGTATCAAGAGTATGTTACAGAAATGCAGTGCACAAAAAGAACAAGTAGCGAGAAAGAGAAAGCGAGAAATTAATATTTTTATATTTCTTCCGTCGCAGTAACATAAAAGTTGAGAATGTACTGCGTGTAAACGTGACGAAATCTTTTCTGTGATTTGTAGCGCAAACTTGCAACACTGAAAATGACTCGATTAATGAACGTCACATAAAAAGGGGCGTATAAGAAGATACGAAAAAATTTCATAATTCACTATATTACACATTTCGTTGATCCGAAGCGACACGACGAAATATGTCATACGTTTATGTTCATTACTGATGTTTCTGGTTGAAAAAAATTGCGCGATCGCGTTGTAGTCGCATGTACACGTTTGACACACGTAATGTTTTCTAGATATGATACGTTGACCGCATTACGAAATGCGCCTCACCCATGCATAAATTTTCGTCAAACGATTTCATATCTTTATCAGATAGATATTGGACGCTTCAGCCATAGTGTTCTCTTCAATTATGTATATAAAATAAGCGTCATTAACGCCTTACATTGCCGGTTTTTATATATTCTAGAAATATATTTAAATGTTTCAGAAAAAAATTTTTTTTATTGATGATATCTTAATTTTTAATTTAGATATCGGCTTAAAGCTTAAGACATTTTTTCTAGATATTTTAAACTTTGATCTATTATGCCGCTTAACAATTTTAATTAAAATATTAAATAAACGTTTACCATTTTCATATACCTTTGATCCATATATTTTGAAAAGTCGGATTGGAAAAGAAAATGGTATCACACACTCGGATTAACTTTGAGTCTTTTTCAACTTTTTAACCAGCTGATAAACTCTTTGGGTAGCTTTGAATTTTTTAACCAACAGTCATGATGCACGAATATCACATTGTGTGTTTGATTCGTCCAATCGGAAGAATAAGGCGTTAATGACGTCTACTGAGTGTTATTGGTTTCGTTTACAATGGATGATGATTAGATTATATGTGTGTTTAATGTTTCTCGTTACTTACTATTTACATATTTGCATTACTCTGCCCAAATTCTTCAGATAAGAAACAAGATCTAATGACTTGCAAATTTTCAAGTTTAATTTTTATCAGACAGATCATTGTTCTTTCTGGAACATTACATTTTAATTTATTTATGTATGCAACGATATAACTTTTAATTCTATTACGAGAATCGTGTGGTGTGTTCTTACTCCATCTTGGAACGCAAGTAGTACAAAGTAACACTGATCCGACAGCTCGACAGGTCGGCTCGTTACAAAGAAAATTTTTTATTTGTGCCTATTCAATAATTATCAATAAATACGCAAAATATCTACGGACCAAATAATACTTTTTATTAATGTTTTAAATAAAAATATCAAATGCAATCTATTCTTTCTTATAAAAAGATAAAATAACTAAAAGTTAATCTATCTGTAGTAGATATTTTAATATTCAGTATATTATATGTATCATGTAAACTTATAATGTTTAACAAATTTAGTCTTGCTTGCTTCAGTAAGAAAATCTACATAAAAGCACGAGGTGCTTATATATGCAAAACACGACGTAATGATGTAATTATATTTACCGACAGAAGGGTATAATTCCATCGTGTCTTTACAGAGGGAGTTATAATCTAATTTTTTGTTAATTAGATTGCCTAATTTTCATAGCGTTTCTTTACTTCCATATCTTTCTTATTACATTTTCAGAATTAAATTGTACACAATTGATAATTGAGCATCCACTCCATTCATAAGATATCATCTGCATAAGCGGATAGAACATACAATAAGAAGCGAGGATAAATTGCGTGAATAATCGATTTTATTGCATTTACAATCGCGTATACATGTTTATTTAAAGTAATCCGACGACATGGTTGGTAGACGAGAAAGGAAATGCAAATGTCAGTGCTTGATACAGTGAGTAATCGATTTTTTGTTGATAGTTTTACACTTCTAGGAGCATAATCACAATAATATTCAATAAATAAATAAATAAGTAAATAAATAAATATATAAATACGTGTATAAATAAATAGTGGGCATTGTAATTAGCGATAAGTAGAAAGGAACGTGGACTCAAGCGCACGAGTCCGATTATAATACTAATGGTACCTAAATTAATCTCTAAGATCAAACTCATATAAAATAAATAAGGATTCGCTTTCGATAATTCGAATCGACAATTCGCTGAGCTAATCGCGCGTCAAACTCTTCATGCCGTTTCTCTCACACACATGCATCTGCGATATAGACTAATACGCATCTTCGGTCTGACGTAAATCCCTCATTCTTATATCAACGTTGCAATAAAAAAACGAAGAGCTAAATAAGAATCGTAATCGTACATGGCCGAGCCCGGAATGCAACACATGCCGCTCGCACGGCGACGTAAAAGCTTCACGACTACACGACTACACGATATTATTAAATCTTAGTCTTTTATACTACTTTTTACACAATAATTTGCGTGTTAACGGACAAGACTGGCGAGTGTGACGAAATGCATTAGAAGGGAAAAAGACAAAGTGCACGTAATTTTTGTAACTGCAACGATAATCGCATCAAAGAAAATTTGCCAAATGTTTTTCAATTCGCAAGATTTTCTTAACGGCGATGAATTCATGATACATTTTGAACGCGATCATAATTATAAGCCATACCGCAAGCCGGACCGCACTGTTTTTCGGATTGATTTCTGGAAAAACAGCTCGATCAGTCATGGTTAACATCGTGATAAAACTTCGCTCTATATCTTTGTTCCATCATTATCCGCAGTAGAAACTAATTGAGACCAGTCGCGATGGCAAATTTACGATGCATTTGAGATTCATTTCGTAAGATTCCACGTTCCAAACGAAAGAACAGATCATCGGTTGCAAGAAGTCGCTAAATTTTCATGTAACTTGCAATTATTAATTTTATCTTGTAATTAATATGAAACTTAATAGCGTTATGTATTTTAATTTAAAAAAAATTTTTTTTTTTTAATAGAATGAAACATCAGTTGACTTTTTGCACTTTTTGATCAATGAGATGATTCGCGATTTCGCTTTCAAGGCTAAATAATGTTGCATGAGATTGCGCGATTGCACATTTTCGCGGAAGTGTAACCGGCGCGATCGAGAAAAGCCGGTTGCAATGATCTCGCGCTTTCTTACGAAATAACGATCTAGCTAAGCGTCTCGTATGACGAACGCAGCAGCCGGCTAAAAATAGCCATCGCGATCGTGATCAATCAAATCGGAGATGTATTACTAAAGAAATGTTATGTCGAGAATGCATCTTGCGAATTATACATTGTCGCGAAATACTGAGGGTGGGGGAGCGATGTAAAATACTGTTCTCGTTAAGCCTCGAATACTTAAATAAGGAGCGCAATCTCTGAGCGCGCGCACAATCGCTGCGCGCGTTTCCTCCTTCCGTAGGATACCGTGCCACTTTACACGGTAATTTGCCTGTAACGCTTGCATTATCTCCCGCTGTTGCCTGTTTATATGGCACGTTACGTTACGCGCGTAACGTTCGCTTCTCTCCACTTGTCGAGACTTAATTTATTTTTTAAGGCGCAAGTTCGTAAAGAAATTGAAGCTCGGACGGAAACTGGTCCGTAATAGTGCGTTGTCGACGGATCACGGTTGAGAGATCAATGAGGTGTGTGTGTGTGTGTGTGTGTGTGTGTCTTGTGTGAACGTGTGAGTGTAATTTTTTTTAATTTTTCTACTTCCTCTCTCCTCCTCTTTTCTCCCTCTCTCTCTCTCTTTCTTCTTCCACTCTCTCGCTCTTCCTCCTCCGCTTGTTTCCTCTACTTTCGTGACTTCCGCCTCATTCACGAGTAACATTTTCAATTAAGTTGGCTGGTAGTCTCTGCTCCTCCCGCGGATGTTCCTTCTGCAATTAAGAAGAGAGAGAATAGAATTAGTTCCGATTCCCGAAGATGACAAAGCCATGCTTAGTTGCGAGTGCGTCATTCGATGATTTTTGTGAATGTATTACAGCGACAATATCGTCAGATCACTATTACATAGATTCGCCGTTTTCCGCGTATTGCATTAATCAGTCTATGAGAACAAGTAAAAACAGATAAATTAGCGAGCACGAGCCGTGGAATATCATGCCTCGGAGACACTGGGTATGGGAAAATGCTAATTACACTCTAAAGTTAATTAAGTTTCATCAGTATGCGCTACGGCGGTTCGGTCAATCTTTCCTTGTCGCAGAATTATCGCTCGAGCAGAGGCGTAATGAATGATCAGTCGAGAGAACGACCACAGAATGATAGATGTATATATACATACGAAAGTGTTACAGCGCTTTACATAGTTTACGCGCTCCGGAAATGAGGCGAATATAAATAACTTTGTGAGTAAGCGATTCTCACGACTTTTCCATATGTTTATTATCACGTAAGAGCTGTTAGTAAACATATGACATTTTTATGAAACAGTGACGCGCTAAGCAGATTATACATAATATTATCACAGTATTGATGCTGCAGTTGCTAAATTTTCATCGACACACAATGATCCTTTTATTTTATATTCAATATAAATTTTGTTAATGTATATGATAAAAAGTTCTTTTCAGGAAAGCATTCATAATTAATAAGAATCTTCTTGATTGTTTGGTTTTCATTAAATGGAATTATGTTAATTAGAAATATAATCTCTTTTTTGAATCTCGTTATATTAGAAAACAAGAATTTTATATTTTGCCATACAAAAATTTATGAAAACTCTTTAAACAGCAGTAAATATGTGTATAAAATTTTGGAATAATCAATATAATAATTTTCTTTGAAAAATTTTTAAACCTGAAGCAGAGAAGAATAACTTTGTTTTTACAAAAGCAAATTTACAAATCAAACGTTTGTTATTATCTGTATTGAATCAACAATATTATGCGTGAATATTATCAGTCAGCGATATTGTTTTCCACACTTACCGAAAGTAAGGAACGAATTAGATCAGATTGGCCCATAGTCGATATCACGTTTTGGACAGGTTCCGCCGAGATGGATCTTCGTTTACGGCCTCTACAAAAACAACAATAAAAGTAGCGTCAGAAAATTGACTTGCTGATTCACGAAGCATCAATTTTTGATAACAACCTAAATTACAAATGCGATAATGCAGTTCAAATTATGCAATGACAAACATCTCGTTTTTTCGTGCGTTTCGATAATACATGACTCAAATGAGTCATGTATAACTTATTTTCGTCTGTCGTCGCACTCGGTCGTTTTTGGTTGCTTGTTTTTTTTTTTGCAAGCGCGTATCACGTTATCGAAATAAATTCGCACGATCACGCCGATTGCTCGTGCCGAAAGAAATGGAAAGATAACGCCTTCCCATGCATCGTGTAATCGCTCTGAGAATCTGTCGCCTAGTAATACTTGGTCGCCTTAGTAATACTTTTATCACAAAACGGCAAACGTGTGTCAGTCGGAGCGGAATCATCGTGAATTACGCGAAATCCTCGGTAAAGCGTAGCAACATCTGTCGTCGCATAATTTGTTTACTGAAGCTTAATTAATTGCTTTCCCGATAATGTCGTCGCCGAGATACGCGAAAAGGAGGTCTCGCGTAATAATGGATGGTTATTAACGAGAAGAATGTTATCTCGCTCGTAGGTTGCAGATATTTTTAAACTTTGCAGCAGTTTTTCATACAATTGTCTGCGCCGCCTGCTGCGATCGAGACCGATTAATTTGTATGGATTACAGTCTCTTTACGTTCTTTCGTGTGATTTTTTTTGTCTACAGTCTAGTAGAAAATTTTCCAACGAAAAGTATTAGGTTCGCAGATTTTGTATATTATTTCTCTCGAACGTAGCAAACATCTGCGAGAAAGTATGCATTACGTCATGGTGCTTTTCTATTTGGTCTATATAATATCTACACTTTATTTTTAAGAATTTCAACTATATACATATTGTCAGTGTAAAAAGTTAATAATAATTTTTGCGAAAACGGATTGTAAATAATTTTGCTTAAGAATTTTTTAAATTAAAGTCTGCAACAAAAAAAAGGAAGAATAAGACACTAAAACAATTTTTATTTATTTTATTGATTGCGTCTTATATATTTTACATTGATTGCAAAATAATAATAATAATTATAAAATATTAATGACTTCTTACATTAAATGGTTACGATTAAACTATGAATACAATGATCCGTCAAAACGACGAAAAATGTCAAATTTTACGTGCCATCATCGAGAAATATGGAACAGAATTATAATAGCTCGATAATATATTCATAGCCTAAGTTAATTACGCATACAACAGCGTTGACACCACAAATATTGTCGATTAATGTACTCGCGGTAACCAACGACAGCAGCGAGCGTACGCGGCGTTCTCACAGGGCCTCTTTTCAGAGAATAGAGAGCGAGCAAGAACATCTGAATAGAAATTTATTCACGAAGCATTCGACGAGAAGTAACCCAGTTAGAGGTTCCATTTACCGTCGTTGCTATTCGTCTTTCTCTCTCGCTCGATTGCGATTCTTTTATTTTACCCGTTCATTCCGATGCAATTATGTTATTCAGCAGGCGTCGTTGCGCACGCTTACAATTTGTAAAAGACGCACTTGTAAAAGCGCTTTATTCTTTCTACAATTCTTTCCATTAAAAATCGATAGCACGTGGAAGCGTATGCCAATGTTATAAATAAAAGGATATAATTATCGTTACTTCATAAGCCAAAACTTTTATCATTGTATTAATATGTTATTTTTTTATAAAAATATTTCTCTAAGAATATTGCATTTTCAAAGCTCTATTGATTTTCCATGCATTAATTTTTCAGTACATTATACTGTGCGCAATCTCTCTTACATTGTTAATATTTTCTGTTCTTTCCTTTTTCTTTATTTTTAATTCAGTTTTTTAACTACATAGCACATGCTTGCTATTTAAAGCGCGAACAAGAAGCAACAAGTGCAACTGCGGTCGATGAAATCTCTAACAGAGAACGGCATTGTTTCAATATAGAATATTTTGTCTATATCTGCCTCTAAATATAATCCTAATATAATACCCTATATATATACCGATTGCCCCATATTTTACGACGTTAATTTGAGTGACAAATCCTCTGACAGATTTGGAGATAATTTTTTTTCTTAGCGAAGACGCTGAAAGAAGTTATCGTTTGTCGCAACTTTTCAATTTTCAACATCATATATCTTGATAACTTGAATAACAAATTTTAATTCTTTTAAAGTATACTTCTTTTGAAATTGACTTTATGACTGAAGAATATTCTGTTACTCACTTACAATTAGTACTTGAAGTTAAGAATAAAGAGCTTCTTTTTAGTCACTTATAATTTGATATTTTTATTATGAAAAAATTAACCGCAAATTTATCAGAAAATTTGTTATTTAATTGAGAGATTGGAGATTGTTCTCAATTATGAAGATAAATTGATTAAAAATATTGAAACATTTGAATATCAAGAAAGAGAATAGTTAAGGGGGATTTCTACCTTGTGAGGCCGAAAAATAGGTGATTTTTAGGAATTTTTTTGTAAAAAAACTATTTGACACATTGATTCCAAATGTGGCAGGTTGATTTATTACATTTAGAACAATATTTGTTTTTATAGATAAAAAAAATGTCAAGTATAGATAATACAGAGCACTGAGTGGGGACATTCCAAAAAAACGCGTCTTGCTTGTGTTGATGAAAAGATCATCTAGAAATCATCTGTAATAAAAAAGTAAAAAAGATTCCTAATTTGTATAAATATGGCTATTTATGGAATTAGATAATTGAAAAATGTTGAAAATTGACAAAATGGCGGCCTTTTGAGGAAAAGTAATGGAATTTTGTCTAAAAATTGCAAAAATTTGTTTAAATAAAAAAAGAAACAGTAACAGATACAGCAATAATTCTAGTTCTATCGATCTTTCTTGAGATTTATGTAAAATTTTAAGCCAATCTCTTGATTGATTCTCGAGATTTCTTCAATATCAGGTCGAAAGAAGTAGTTTCGAGAAAATAGGCTTTAAATTTCTGTTATGTATAAGAAATTATATTTACTACTCACCATTAAAATGTTATAACAGTTTTTGAAATTTTGCCTAATTATTTTAGAAACATATTCTCAAGGTCTCAGCCTTTTGGAAAATAAAAAAAAAACGATTTTTTTTATCCGACAAGATAGAAGTCCCCTTTAAATATAACTCCTTTAAATAAATTTAATTATCTATTACGTCAAGATCGGCAGCTTCTTGCGTCTATCTAGTATCTAACATAACAACGGCATAGGCTCGAAAAAAAGATGACGTAAGGTCCACGGCCTTACCCGAATCAAACGAAAGCTTATCAACTTCCTTGAGATTAACATTTTATTTGTGTCACGGTAGCGCAAGAATAAAAGTTGGCAAATCAGCGTCCGGACACTATTTTAATTTTAGAACTATCGGCAACGTATTTTTTCCTTTTTTAGACACATTCAAGGAAAAGTCTTGCGAACAAGCGATTACGGTCGGAAATATTTTTAGAAAATTAATTAACATAAAAACTAACATGACAAATTAATTTAATTTAAGAAAAGATATAATTTTTAAATAACATAAATTGGTTTGATTATTTTTATACTTCTTCTATCATACTTTTGCTTCTTTTTAAAAATATAAAGATTAAGATAGTTTTTGGTAAATTTTCATTCTCGCTTGTTCTCGCTCTTATTATTGAAACTATGCTTAGTTATCATTACGGTTAATGAAATAAATTAAGGACAGTGTACTTACATAGCAGCTGGATCCACTTTGCCGAGTCCTACGGGAACTGCGACGCCCTTGATTTTTTCCAGTGCCATAAGTGTCTCCAATTCGGCCATCCTCTGATCGGAGAGGCGTCTGTACCTTACGATCGGGATGTTGTCTGTGTCGCTGTCGCCAAAGTGCCTCCACTGGCTGTAACAAATTTGGAAAATATCACCTTAGAGACCGTTCGAAAGAAAGTACTAATGTAGATAAAGTGCGCGACTTTTTTTAGATATTACGTCATAGAAATCCGAGTTTGGCGTTGAAATGTCAACAAACGATTATAACCGGCGCGGTTTTCATCTCAATGCATGACACATTCATCACTTTAATAGCCGCGCTAATCTTACGAGCGTGAGCGCGCGACAAAAAAGCGCCTATCGGCTATGTTCAACAAACGCATTATTCTCGTCGCGTATAGAAGTTTCAGAAAAGAAGTCGGTCATTTCATCTGCGAACAATTAAGATCGCTTCGGCACGCGATCAGCGTCATCATTGCATCATACGTTGCATAATTGATTGCAATTATTAACGGCAATTTAAAGTTAATCTTACTATTCATCATAAATCAAGTTCAATCGCGTTGTGAAAAACGCCAGAGATTGGCTGAGCAAACACAACCGATTGACGATTTAGAAACTATCAATGCCAAATTCGTTCATGAAGAGAAAGCCAAAGCAATAATTTCACGAATTGCTTCACGACATTCTATGCAGCGCGTGATTTCTCTGAAAGAATCATCCAAAGTGTGTCACGCGTAAAATTTTCCTAGACTTTTAATATGATCTCATCTTCTTCAAGTCATACCTGAAGAGCCACTCAGGAGGTGGCCTGGCGTACGTCGTTTCCGACAGTAATGCCACGACCAGAACGCACAGAATCGCCGCGCTGACCGACAGATTCATCTTCTCGCGCGCGCACTGAAGAGTCAAGTTCGCGAAGTGAAAGAAAAAAAAGTCTCGCCGAGAAAATTAAATCGCCGATATCAACTGTCAATCGATTCCAGTCGGCACCGGTCGTCACACACTTCTCCTTTTTTTTCCGGTGCGATCCTCGTAAAAACTCGCTCTACAACGTCTATACTTTTTTCACTGATATCGGTACTTTAAACTCTCGATACGATTTTCCGCACGCTGTGATCCTCCGATTTCCCTTCTCTCGTTCTCGCTTTTGTCTTCTGGTGAACTGTAGCTACTCCCGGCCGCATCGGCATATATACCCTCCAAGCCGGCGTATACTCCCCATCCCCACCCGCATCACCGGCTAGATAGCTCCCACTTCATCGGATCCACCCTCACTTTTTGCGCGATATCTTTACTCTCCGATCCCTTTTCCTAGTTTCGCGAACGCAAATCAACTGTCTTTCTTCCCCACCTTTTTTCTAGCTTTTTTCGCATATATTTAATCATAGAATTACATTCCGGCCTAATAAAAGTCGCCGAACGCGGTTGATAGCGCAAAATTCATCATTTTACATATGTATATTCGGAACTTTATTTGAAATTTATCAAACATTATTTTGGAATCTAAATTGCATACATTTAAATAAATTGTATAGTACGCGTTATCTTCTCAAAGTTTACATACGCACATTTTACATATGCACATTTTACATACGCTCGGCAGATTCAACTCTTTCGTTCGATTCAAAAATCTCGATATTCAGTGATGAAAATCAAATGAGAATCGCGCTGTAATGTTATTATGCAAAATAATAAACGATGTGTCCAATATTCTGAAATTCTGACAAGCGTCACATTACGAATATTCCAATTTAAAATAATCCTCTGCGTTTCTCCTTGCGCTTTTAAATGTAAACCGGACGTTCATGATTACTCAAGTTGAAGCAATATCTCTCGTACTTGGAAACTAATTACGATGTCGCTTACTTAAAAACTTTAATTAGCTTCTTTGTGTAATATACAAATTAGTTGTGCACTACCCGACATTCTGCGTCGAACTTCGACGCGCACCTACGTCGTCGGCGAACGCGACGAACAAAGATCCTGTTGCTTTTTAGGACTCATACCGCATTTCTCTGCAAGATGATTATTTTCTCTCTTCCGTTGTTCTCGATCGATCGACGACGCAATATTTTCTTAAACGACACATGCGAGAATGAGTAACGAAAGATTAATAAAGGCTACCAATAAAAAATAACATAAAATTACGTTTCGGCTGCTGCGTAAAAGAACAATGCGAGAAATTGCGATAACTCCGCGTTCAATGAGCACAGCAAAAAAAAAGAGGCGAATCTGATTCTGTAAACTTCTAAACTGATTTCTGTATAAACACATTCTGTATAAACACATTCTGTATAAAGGAGCGATATTAATTTTTCCTAATTAACTTTCACTTATCGTACTGTTATACTATTTTTACTGCGCTTTCTTTCGCGCAACGGACAATAGCCAATAAAAGTAAACGAGTGTATTAGTGTCGCACAATGTACTGTTTTCGAAATTACCCGTATCTTCTACCTTATCTTTCTTACGCCCTTGTTATTAATTCTTGTTATGATGCGACGCACATAGCAGTCCGCACAGGGAAGATTGCAAGAACGCTCTGCTTGTTTGCTTCGTGCAAATATGTGTCTTACACAATTAAGCAATTTGTGTGTAAGTCCGGAAAATATCCGAATGTACGATGCATCGTTGTATGAAATGAGTGAGATAATCACGTATCAAAAAAATGATTATCGATACGCTTATAAAAAAATCAATATGACATCATTATATGAAGAGCGTTTTTTTCAAAACATTTTTATTTTTATTTTTATGCAACTTTTAAATTGCGCAGACAGGTAGTAAACAGTACAAACGTTATGTGAAAATTTATACGTTGAAGCAAATTTATTCCTTCTAAATTATGTTTTATAAAATCAGCGAGAAATGTCAAAACACATTTAAAAGTAATTTAAAAAAAAAAATATATATATATATATATATATATCTTAAAAATGTATTAAACGAAATCACCACTTTTTGCAAAAAATACACTTTTCATCGTATTATCATAATCGTATTATTGGCAAAACGTAATTAATTGTTTGAACGATAAACCAGAAATTGTTTTAGTCATTTGCATCGAAATTTTTGTTCAACATCGCATGCGAAATCGGAATTTCAATATAATAAAATCCATGGATTTCTTTTGATCTACTTTGCGAACATGTATAAACATGTATGAATATACATGAATATATATGAATATAAAACGGTTATTGTTGCGTAATAAATTTTCTTCTTCTTGCATTTTACTATTAAATTTCTAATTAAGAGAGCGCACGGCTTGAATATTCACCCCTGCAAGGACTGTGGTAACTTCAAAGATACGATAAGCGATAGATAAGCATTTTTTTGTATAATATGTCCCCGCGTATATTGTAACTGACGTAATGCGATGGGAAATACCTCTCGGATACGCGGAAATATGACGGACGGCTTGTGGTAGGTTACTCGCAATCTCCCGAGATCTTTGTTTGCGGAGACGCGCGATTATCAACTTTGTCTATTTTCGATGACTACCAATCTATTTTCAAGCTACGCAGAGTTAATATTACCCATAATAATGACTCCATTACTAGCTATCGAGACTGAATTACATGTTTCAATCATGACTTGCGTAATATATTACACATAATATATTGCACCATCAGCGCAAAACTATCGTAACGAAAAAAAAAGAAAATATACATATGTATGTTTTTCTCGTTATGATAGTCTTGTGTTGATAGCGCGATATGACAGTGCATGTAATATGTTATACAAATTACGCCAAAAAGTTAAAAATGATTACGCCAAAAGTGATTAAAATAAATATTTTCATATTTTCAGTCGTTATTTAGATTATTTATCATACAATAAATGTAAATAATAATATGTTAACAGAAAGCTTTTTTTACAGAAAGAGAAAATAGCAATAAAAACAGCTTTTATTTATATTATAATTTATTGCAATAACTATGAAATCAGTTTTTCCAAAAAATAATTTTTTTTTTAGTTATGATAATAACATGTACTAAGCAATACACATGTACAGTGCAATATCTAAAGTGCAAGCATAATAAACTACGTGATGTCATACTTCCTGAAAAAGCTATAAAGCCTTCGCGAAAACTGCAATTGAAAAACGAGCAAAGTACGTGCGATCGTATATCTATCTTTAAGCGAGGAACGGAAACTACAGAATATCAGCAATAACGGATGCGAAGCTGCGTAATTCGTAGATTCGATAATTTGGTGTGTATCGATCGGATTATAAATGCGTCGTTAAACTCTATCTCAGAGTCGTATATTCTGTACAGATTCATTCGGTTTTCCGATTATTTTTGCGATGAAACACAGTACGGTTCGGAGATAACTGTGGCTAATCCACTTACAGATGGTTACGGAACACTCGATTACTTCGCTTTCCAAATTTGGCGGTCACTCGTTATGCGCTATCAATTTATCGAGCTTAAATCGCAAATATCACAGCGAGTGACGCACAAATTGATACTTATTAAGCGCGTTGACGGGCTGGTTATCGAAAATGATATATCACTTTAATATGTTTCACGTTAACAATAGAATTAACGATCGCGAATATTTCATAGGAGACATCAAGTAGGACGCTACTTGAAATCGTCAATTAAGTATGGTGGTTCGATAATTCAATATATTGGAATTACATTGGACCAAAGTGCATGTCTTATTATGAACTTATTTACAAAATCGGACATTATAGTGCAAACACTCGTAAACCGATTAAATCAAACTTGATTGGAGAATGTAAGTGTCACTTCACTAAGAAAGCATGATAAATTGAGCCACTTAATTGGTTTGTAATAATAAGTTTGCGATAAAATACGTGTTTGTTCTGGATAACATAATAGTAATATACCAGGTTGCCAGCATTGAAAAAGATTTAAAATCGAAACGTTTGCACTCAAGAGCTGAAATAATTAAAATAACTAATAACATTAATTTTTTAAACATTGTCTTAAAACAAGAAGTTTATCGATGCTTTTTTTACACTATGTCGGGAAGTGTATATTTTCACTATTAATTAAACTACCTTTCGCAATTTATTTTCCAATACAAGTTAATTGTTCTATCCTACGTGTGAATTTTAAAGCACATTTTTTAATGCACAGCGACATCAAGTAATCGGAAAGAGATTACTCTTTTATTCAAGATTTAATTAAAAGACCAGGAAACCTATAAGATGAAAAAAAATAATACGATTCTCCTTAACAGGGAAAAAGGAAAGCAGCACTATATAAATGCACCACTCGTGAATTATCGATTGTGACTGTTCGAAATATCGATGGGAACGACGTATAATGCGGAAGACGTATCATATGAAATGTCTTTCTTCGTACCACCTTGTAGCGCACTTGTCTACCGTCGTCACCGTAGTTTTTACATGGCAACGAATAAGTGGTTTGTTTTTTGCGTCAGTGGGACGGAGAAAGAAATCACGCAGACGCGGTAACCACCTGTGATGTGTGCTTGTACTTTGACCAATTTCTCTTGTAAACATCTGCGAGAGATAATGCAGACGAGACAATAGCTCCGACTGACCCAGATTATCTCTCTCTCGGTGTGAATTTATGTAGAAATTAATAAATATTTGGATGAAAGACTTCCAGTAGAACCGGATGAAAACAGAGAAAAGAGGAAAACTACAGCAAATGCAATGTTTTTACAACGTGTTTTTTGCATTTACATTTATATTTATTTTCATGAAGTTAGATTTTCCTGCAGAATGGGATTATTACATAATGAGCTTTATGGAATCTCCCGTTTCATCTTTTATTTATTGCCATTCATTCTCAAGGCCGCAAACGCGAAGAGGAATAAAACATTTTTGAATATTTTATCTTTCTGCTTTAATTTTATGTAACATTGCATTGCAAATCAAAACAAGACACACGTATTACACAAAATTACTATACTAAAGAAACTTATTCTTCGGAAAAGCTGATTTCAAAGTTGAATTATTGCAGTATATCAAAACACAAAAATTGTTATGTTCAAACTCTATAAGAGAATTATATGTATGATTTTTCTAAAGAAAGTTCTTCGTTATAACTTTATCTTTCGTTAACTCACGAAAAATAATAAAAGCGCATATGTGCACTTGATATTTTTCCAATAATTAGTCAGTACAACTGACAGTGATATTGCGCATATCATG